AACAGACCCAGCAGGTGATGAGATCCCCACCCAGCAAGACCTAAGCTTTGCCTAATCTTTGAGACTCCTGATAATCTATTAAAAGAGAACTGAAAATGCTAAAAGAGATCAAGATTGTATTTTACACTTTAGCCTTGAATAAACTAATCCTTTAAAATACATATAACTTACACTATACAACAATACCACAATGGCAAGCTCATAGAAGGCATGGCTGAATGCACAGGGTGGAGCTTGACACCTTATTCCCCCTTGTCCTCTGCACATGTCCCAGGCCTGTAGAAGCAGCCTCAGAGTATTAATGCCAAAAGCCTATACCAGAGACTCTTGGTTGATGCGGGACCTGCATCTGCTCAAGAAACCTTTGTAAAGGAAGAAGAAACGTCATACAACCTGGCTCCCAGATGCAAATTGATCATCCAAAAATTGCATGTGGGCAATCAAGACCTGTCTGCATGCAATAAGGCAGGGGGGGGGGGAGGGAGGGAGAAAAAGAGAGGGGGGGAGAGACGGTTCCACAGTTTCCATTTTGACAGTTCAAACTGTCACATCATTGCTGTTCTCCATGAAAGGTTTGGCAAACAAGTTCGGGCAGGGAATGAAGATGCCAGCAAGTTCAGGCAGGGAATGAAGATGCCAGCATATTAGAAGGGGCTAAGTTTAGCATCAAAAAAAAAAAATCTGTGGGAGGGCTGCTGTCTAGAGCTGCTGAAGACAGTCTGCTTAATTAAAATCAATTCTTTAACCCTTATCTGCTCTCATCTCCTGCTACTTCGTGTGAAGGGTTTCCAGCTAATTTATCATGTACAAAGGAAATGCCAGGGCATTATTTGTAATAATGGAAACAAAACAAATGTCTCGAGATTCCACTGAGCAAGACAGCAGACTATGACACCCTGGAAACTGTTAGCTCTCCCCTGGGCTCACCCATATTCCTAAAAAAAAAACAACAACAAACCGTCCCCTGGGCTTTCCAGAGAGCACTCACTAGACCTGGCTTTCATGGCTTTATGATTTGTTTTAATGTAAACAATCATTTTATATGCAAAGAGCATCCTAAATTATTCATGTACTACCTATGTTAACAGTATCCTTTAAATAAAATAATCCTACTGGGCCAGATATGGTTGTATATGCCTGTAATCCCAGAAACTTGGGAATCAGAGAGTACAGACCAACTATGGAAAAGATTGCCAAACACAAAATAAATCAAAAGGGCTAAGGGCATGGTTCAAGTGGTAGTAGAATGGTATGGGAAACCCTGAGTTCAATCCCCAATAATAGCAGCAACAGCAACATCAACAACAGCAACTTACACAGGTTATTTTCCAGTCTGGAAACCCACAAGGGCTGTGGCATGGGGCCTTTCTAGAGTTAGGGAGAAGCAAATCTGCGCTTCCTTGATGCATACAGAGACAGAAATTAAAAAAAAAAATCAGGGTGCAACTAATAAAGGGCAATGGAGGTTTTTAATAACCACAAAGCCCCAGGAGAGGGGTAAACAAATCTCCAGGGAAGTCCAGTATCTTTTTCTTTGTTATTCTCACTTGCTCACTTGGATTTTATTTTTTGTTTGTTTTTTTTTTAATTTTATTTTTTGTTGGTCATGGGGCTTGAACTCTGGGCCTGAGTGCTGTCCCTGAGCTGTTCAGCTCAAGGCAAGCGCTCTACCACTTGAGACATAGCACCACTTTCAGTTTTCTGGTGGTTAATTGGAGATAAGAGTATCACAGACTTTCCTGCCTGGGCTGGCTTTGAACCCTGATCCTCAGATCTCAGCCTCCTGAGTAGCTAGGATTACAGGTGTGAGCTACTAGCGCCTGGCTTCCTTGGATTTTAAATGCATTCCTTAGGTAGATGGCTCAGGCACCGATTGTAGCTTCCTGAGCTCCAGTCCTGGCAGCCACTGTATATTGGCACAAATGTGGCAAAGTTAACTTCACTTTCTGCTCCGAGCTGGGCAGGGGCCATAGGATGACCCTTGAATGTCTTGTCAGGATGCTTGCGAAGATCTGGACATAGGATATGTCACCGTATGGAAAGCAGCTGCAGGGAGACCAAAAGGCCCTAGCCTGTGTCATTTAAGTCCTCCAGTGAGCACAACAGAAAGCAAAGCACCGCCTCTAAGTGACAGGTATGAAAGCTGGTATCAGCCCTAGAGTATTGGTGCTTGTATGAACACAGGCTCGAACCCATTACACTAGAGTAACAGCTCCAGATAACAGCTCCATTTTAAAAAATGGCTATCCTCGGAGGACTCATTCTGATGCTGGGTGTACTTGGTGAACCTTCCACTCAGCATTTACTCACTAAATTTTTGTGAAAGTAATAGATCTGTGGCCATCTTCAGCTAGTATTAGTCATCAACTCAATTCCTAGACTTTTATTTGACTATTGACTATTTTATTTTATTGGTAGGGTACTGGGGCTTGAACTCAGGGCCTCATGCTCTGGCTTAGCTTTTTCCTTCAAGGTTGATGTTCTACCACATTAGCTACACCTTTACTTCTGATTTTTTTATGATTATGTGGAGATGAGAGTCTCACAGATTTGTCTGCCCAAGTTAGCTTCCACCTAAGAGACTCAGAACTCAGCTTCTTGAGTAGCTAGGATTATAAGTATGAGCCACTGGTGCCTGGCTTTATTTTTTATTCTTTTGTTTTTGTTTGTTTTTTGCCAGTCGTGGGGCTTGAACTCTGGTCCTGGGCACTGGCCGTCAGCTCTTTAGCTCAAGGTGAGTGCTCTACCTCTTGAGCCACAGTGCCACAGTGCCATTTTCTGTTTATGTGATACTGAGGAATCGAACCCTCATGCACTCTACTCTGAGCCACCTTCCCAGCCCTTATTTTTTATTCTTGAATCAATATATGTTTGAAGAATGAAGGAGTTTTTGTGGTGACATTTTCAAACATGCATATAGTGTACTTTGAACAAATTCACTCCCTCTATCCCCCCATTTTTCAAATATTTTAGATAGATAGATGATTTATAGATATACTTTGTATACCTATTTTATATCCCATACACAACTCCTTTTAATTAACTCCTCGCTTTTTATTAGACAGAAGTATCTTTTACCTCTTAATAATAATATAAAGAAATCCCTATCTATGTCTCCACATACCTCCCAATTTCAGGCTGTTAAGTCACTCCTATGCTTAAAACCTTTTAGCAACCTCCATCTCCTTCAGCTTCAAACTCAAGCTTTTCACCAAGAAAATTCTTCATCAACAAAGCTCTAAGGATCCAGCCACTAACTACAGCTCTGGCCTTCTGTGAGGTTCTCCTTTGCTTGGTTCCTCTCTAGCCTGCCATCTCTTGCCTGGGGTTGGCACTGGTGGCTTCCTGTTTCTGCCATACACTCTCAACCACCAGTCACTTTTCACGATCTAGCTCAGACATGTCAGTCTCAGCAAGATGCTCCCTGCTCCTGCAGGAAATGCACCATTTTATCACCAGCACACATTATGGTTTGTGGTGCCGCACAGTAGAAATGAACAGGGATTTTTGCCAGCCTGATTTGCTGTGTGTCTCCAGTACCTACACATTTCCTAACAAGGTCTGTGGAGGGAAATGAATGAATGTTGTAAGGAATGGTCACTGGGACATGGACTTCCAGTTGACTTTCAGATAAGGAATGGACCACATTTTCCTGTCACCATTTTCTCCTCAAGGGCTTCTGCTAAGCCAGTGGGCCACTTTTACCAAGAGACTAGGTCATCATTTGGGACACAGAAGGAAAGAATGGAACAGAAAAAATAAAGATAAAAACAGGCTTGGCTCATAAAAGAAATGCAAATCAAAACAACATTGAGATACCACCTCACCCCAGTTAGAATGGCTATAATCAAGAAATCTAATAATAATAGATGCTGGAGGGGACGTGGACAGAAGGGAACTCTACTGCATTGCTGGTGGGAGTGTAAACTTGTTCAACCACTTTGGAACGTAGTATGGAGGTTCCTCAAAAGACTCCACATAGAGCTCCCCTATGACCCAGCAATCCCACTTTTGGGCGTTTACCCAAATGTTCACAAACAAGACCACACTAAAGCTACCAGCACAACTATGTTTATTGCAGCATTATTTACCGTAGCTAAGATAGGGAACCAACCCAGATGCCCCTAAGTAGATGAATAGAAATGTGGTATATATACACAATGGAATTCTATGCCTCCATCAGAAAGAATGACATTACCCCATTTGTTAGGAAATGGAAAGACTTGGAAAAAATTATATTAAGCCAAGCCCAAAGAAACATAGGTCCCATGGTTTCCTATTTGCAATTACTAGTATATGTCTGAGACAAGCAGAAATGGTCAGATAAGTTGATGTTGGGCAAAATGAACCCCAAGATAAGGACTCAATTTTTTTTTCTTTCTTGCAATTGTTTCTAACATATTTATAAGATGATTTGTTGCTTTGTATGTCCCTCCCCCATGGTATAACCCTTGCTTTCACTGTATTTGATATTGGTATAATTTGTGAGGGGAATGGAAAAAAAATTGTTCAAATAGAGATACAAGTGGACCCATTGCAACAATGAGATGTACAAGACATTATGTCAAAAAATGAACTTTACAACTTTAGACACGGGAGGGGAGGGGAGGGTGTTGATGGGGAGGGTAGGGATGGTAAGGGGAAACAAAGGAGGAGGCAACAATGCTTGATAAGAAATGTACTCATTACCTTGCCCATGTAATCGTAACCCCTTTGTACAGTATTCTCACAATAAAAAAAACAGACTTGGCTCAAATGGAGATTAAACTCAGATCATGTCCATCTGATCTACTTACAAGCAATGACAGGGAAATCAGGGCTGTGTTTTTGACAATGTCATTTTCTTTAAATTCTGAACTTTCCACCAAAACCAAATGAACTTCTACTTGTTCTTATCACGAGTGACAACAAAATTTACAGGGATGGCCCAGAGCAAACACACCGTAGGCAAAGCCCAAGCCCCCTTGCCTGGGAGGTGGCCTCCCGAGGGTGCAGCATACCTGTCATAAGGAACAGGAGTCCAGCCACGTGCTGGGTCAGGCTCTCCTCCCAGAAGAAGCTGACCGTGGCCACGATGCAGCCACACAGCAGGACAGCTACAGCCATGCCCAGGAAGCCAGCCGTGATTCTTCTTAAATCTAATCTCAAGAGAGAAACAGACATCCCAGATCAAAGGAACAGTCAGGAAAGTGACTAGCAATTATGGAACAAAGAAAGTGCTTTGCGTGCATCCTGAAAATAAGTTACATGGACAGGAGTGGGGCCTACAGGGTGAGAGGTTTGGGAAATCCTCTTTCCAGGTATCTGTATCTGTGGGTGTCACAAAGGCAAGGGTCAAATCTACCTCCTGTGAATATATGAGAGGAGAGTTTTTCAGAAACAGAGCACACTGGGCACCACTGACTCACATCTGTAATCCTAGCTACTCAGGAAGATGCGATCAGAGGATTGTCAGAGCAATCTACAAGATAACCAGCAAAAACCAAAAAGTAAGCTGGATGCATGGCTTGTATGTAGAACACCCGGAAGGAAGGAGAAAGAAAGAAGGAAAGAAAGAAAGAAAGAAAGGAAGGAAGGAAGGAAGGAAGAAAGAGAGAGAGAAGAAAGAGAGAGAGAAGAAAGAGAGAGAGAAGAAAGAGAGAGAGAAAGAGAAAGAGAAAGAAAGAAAGGAAGGAAAGAGGGAAGGAGGGAAGGAAAGGATGGAGGGAAGGAGGAAGGAAGGAAAGAAGAGAAGAAAGAGAGAGAGAAAGAGAGAGAGAGAGAGAGAGAAGCACCAATTCACCCAGATTAAGGAGAGACTATTCCCCAAACAAGTGTCCACTACATGTTCAACTATCAAAATTTGTTACCTAAATGCTATGATTGTATGATGTTTCTTTAAACACCAGATCCCAAACATATACCCATTGCCCCTAAGGCAACAGGTCTGAGCAAAATGCCTGGGGACTGTGAACATTGCCAAGCACATGTGATCAAAGAAAGATGCACATGGAAGTGCAGGCTTCTCTATGAATGCAGAAGTGCCATGTTGACCTTGTATGTTTGCATAGCTCCTGGGCATCTCAGGGGTGCTGCAGAAGGGCCAATGGGTTATAGTAGCCACTCCTCTTGATCTTAGCCTATAAGTTACATGCAAACCATTCCTTTCCTTTTCTTTTCTTTTCTTTGTTGTTGTTCATAGGGCTTGAACTCTGGGCCTGAGCACTGCCCCTCAGCTCTTCAGCTCAAGGCTAGTGCTCTACCACTTGAGCCACAGCACCATTCCCAGTTTTCTGGTGGTTGTTTGGAGCCAGGCGCCAGTGGCTTACACCTGTAATCCTAGCTACTCAGGAGGCTGAGATCTGAGGATCACGGTTCAAAGCCAGCCCAGGCAGGAAAGTCTGTGAAACTCTTATCCCCAATAAACCACCAGAAAACTGAAAGTGGTGCTGTGGCTCAAGTGGTAGAGCGCTCGCCTTGAGCTGAAGAGCTGAGGGACAGTGCCCAGGCCCAGAGTTCAAAACCTATGACGGACCAAAAAAAAGGGGGGAGGGTCTCACAGACTTTTCTGTCCCGGCTGGCTTTGAACGATGATCTTTAGATCTCAGCCTCCTGAGTAGCTAGGTTTACAGGTGGAGCCACCAACGCCCAGCAAACCATTCCTTTTCTTAGAGCATCCATATGAAAACCAAGTGTTTCTGCTTAGACAAGGAAATGTAAACTCCATAGAACAACCATCCAGAGATGAAAGATACTGAGTTTAATAGCAAGAGCATAATAGAAAATTAGAGATCTGCATATCTGAACAGCAGAGATGCAAAATAGCTCAGTTACTATTTTTCTACAAACTCCCGAATGCCTGGGGCTTTGAGTGATAGTTGTACCTTCTATGATTACTGAAAGGCACAGGGTCAGTTTGACTTTCTTAGAAACAGTCATATACAAAACTGCTACAAGCATCTTTTCACAAGAGCCCCTTCCCCACAATGCACACAGGTGCATGCGCGCGCGCACACACACACACACACACACACACACAAAGAGAATGTTCAAATATTGGTGTACGGGGCTAAAATAACAAGGTAAAAAGTTTTAGATTAAAGAGGTAAGGTTCTTTTTCAGGATCTTGTGATCATCCAGTATCTATGCAATTCATCTAGACAGATTATTAAGACAAATAACCCAAACATGCTCATAAAGAATTATGAAGTAGCCAGGCATGGTGATGTATGCCTATAATCCCAGTTTCCTGGAAGGCAGAGATAGGAGTATGGAAAATAGTGTGAGGCCAACCCAGGCAAAACGTGAGACCTTATCTGGGGTGTGGGGGAGGGACAAAAAGCCCTACCTAAAACAGAAGGTCTCAGGAATGGCTTGTGAGATGGATCCCTTGCAATCTTGAGGCTCTGAATTCAATACTTAGCACTGCCCTCAAAAATTAGAAAGTGAGAGCACTTAGACATGACTTTAAATTAGATCTGCTGGGAAGTGGCTGCTAAAATCCAGCAGCAAGAACTCTCAGAGAGTCATGCTGTTTTATCCAATGACATTCCAAATTCTAAAGAATCAGAGAATTTGCATTGGACTACTGGCATGATACTGTCCACGTATGTGATCAGGATTCAAAATAGTCTTTTGCTCTGCACAGCAATTCACTTATGAAGTGGAACTCTGCTTGTTCCTCTACAGTGGCTTTCACTACCACAAAACAAGATCGTTGGTCTTTGCTGTGCATTTCATTGGGAAAATGCAAATATTGATCTCCGACTTGGGGAATACAGGAAAGAGTTCAGGGTCAGGTTTTGCTTTTGCATGCTACCGGTCACCAGGCAGCTTGAATCAGCAGTTTCCAGGTAAACAGCCGCTCTTTTTAGTGTCATATCTGATGTTTCCCGACAGTGAAAAACAGCAGTTACCTCCATTGAGATGTACAGGTAATTGATACTCTTTGAGAATACTATGGCACATATTCATAAAAGAATTTCAGCAGAAATACCAAGGTTTGGGATAAGCACAGATAAATATTACAGGGACAAAACAAAAATAAGAGCATCTGGAGTGTAATCTCATTGGTTTCCTGAGACAAATGGTAGGACAGGTGTACATTCCCCACTCACCTGTACAGATTCTACCTGGAAAGACAGGCATACTGCACTGTCTTCACAGAAACTCACACCTGGGTTTCCCATACTTGTCCAATAAACACATTTTGCCCATGGCATAGCGAAATGCTCTTCAAACTCTAACCAAATCAACTGCACCCAGAGGTTTGCACAGGATAAGTGTCTTTCCATCCAAAGAGTAATGGGTTTGGAAAGGCACCAGTTCCTTTCTGATCCTTTCCCAGAAATACTTACGAAGCAGGTGCCATTCATCTTGCTGTATTGTCTTAGTTAAATTGAATGGAATGTTTCGTAAGCGGATTGGCTGCGAAAAGTGGTACTTGATAGCTGTGCATCGCTGCGCAATACCTTGAAGGAAATAAGAAATACAATTTACTAGTCTAATCATTTGTAATAGAATTCTGGAGACCGAAGGCAGAATAACTTATCCTAAACTGGGCTGAAATGGAGAGGACATACGAATCTCTCGATTACTCTCATTAACAGAAGCCAGTCAGACTACTAAAGACCGAAAACATGAAATAGTTCTTTTTAAAAGAAAGCATGTTCTACTTTGAATGTTTGAAATTTTATAAGGATGTAGATGTTCCCCTAAATGCTTTCTACTACTCAGTATGGATGACTTAAACACAATGCTACTTAAGGAGAAATGACCTATAAGTAGACAGATGATTGGGAGAAATCAGCTTGGAATGTTAAACAGATACATAAATTACACTTCTGAATTTTATCTAGTCTTAAATTCTCAGCTAGATTGCACAAAAATGTTCATTAGGAAGAGTGCTCTTTAGAAACCATAAGATACTTTTCCTAAAAGAATTTCTGCATGGTACCTTAGATAATATCATATCCCTAGACACAAACCTATTTTACCCTTGGGCAGTTGATGTTATACCTTAATAGGAATGTTACTCACTTGGAATATGGATCTTAGGTGAAAGGGTAATATTGAAAGCAGAGAGAAGGAAAAAGTATCTTTTTCTCTCCTTAGTTGCTTGCATGACCAGCCCTAGGCTCAATACTATGATATAGGTAAATGTATCTATTGGTTTATTTTATATCCTGTCTGCCTCCTGATCCCTGCCCCATCTCAGACTACATGAATTAACATGAGCCTATTTTTCTTTAAAGTCAAAGAACACTATCTGCCTTCTTTAAAAAATTCAATAACCAACAGTTTCCTTATTTCAATGTAAGCCTTGTAGGCCAGTTGTTTGGATAAATGCAGTCTTATTGCATTTACCTGACATTTTTTTTTGCCAGTCCTGGGACTTGAACTCAGGATCTTGGCACTGTCCCCAGGCTTCTTTTGCTCAAGGATAGCACTCTACCACTTGAGCCACAGTGCCACTTCCAGCTAAAGAATGGAACACAGGGCTTCATGAACGCTAGGCAAGCAATCTACCACTAAGCCACCTTCCCAACCCCATTTACCTGACTTTTAAAAAGGCAAGTGAATGTCAGTACTCTAACCCTGACAACTCTGCAGAAAAGTAGACTCATCAATGCAATTTCTATTTGGTAGAGTCTAAGTACACGTGTAAAGTGATTTAAAAAAAAACAATGAAAGGAGATTAAATTTTGAGCAGTTTACATCACAAGCCAATCAATTCTTCCTGGGAATACAGAGGAGCATCTTCTACCGAGAGTTTTCTCAGACATCAGTGTACATACGAATCACCTGGAGGGTGTGAAGAATGTAAACTTCAAGGTCCTCCCCAGATAACTTAAATCAAAAGATTTGGATTGAGCCAAGAACCTGATGTTAAAAATTAAACATCTCAAGTGATCCTCAGTTCTGAGGCAAACATCCACTGAACCTCACATTGAGAAACACTACCTGACAGTTTTGAAAGAATCGGATATTTTCATAAACTAATCTGATAGTTGGAATTCTCTAAAAACTCAACATTTTTCAGGTTTTTTTCTTTTGGTCTTGTCCCTCCCCCATGGTTATGAGATATAGGGTATATCTATCAGGTGTTTACATCTTGCCTAAGTTTACAAATGAGCAAATAGTTTGGTATGGGACCAATGACAGATATGGACTGAAAACAGTTTTATAACTTCCATTTTTATTCTATAAAACTACCATTCCATCTAACACTCATTCTCAGGTTGATCTTCAGAAATGGGAGGAAAAAAAGAAAGACATTTCAGTTAAATAAAAACTGGAAGAACTGATGAATATCAGACCATCCTTGCATAAAAGACTAAAGGGAATTCCTTCAACTGATATGAAATGACAGTAACTGAATCCACATAAAGAAAAAAAGAATACATTTAAACAAAAAAACATAGAGACATGTGTTCATATTGTGTTTGTACATTTTTCTATATGATTTAAATGAAATAAAGAATAAAGCAATAATTATGACTGTGTCAATACACATACACTCTGTAGAGATATAATTTGACAGTAACAGTTCAAGGCATAAAGAAAGAATGGAGCTATGTAGGCACAAAAGTTTTATACATTTGAAATTTAGTTAGTATTAATACAAATTAGATTGTTTTAAACTGCGATGTCACTTTTAATTCACATGATGACCACTTGGAAATTAACAAAAAAGATGGTGAAACAAAAAGAGAGCATTAGAAAGTCCACTAAAAAATTATCTAGAAGGTAATAATGGAGAAATTGAGAGACAGATGCTATAAGGCATCTAGAAAATAAATTTAGATACAATAGCTACCAGCCAAAAAGATGGAATGTAGTCATCACAGATAAAACAACATAATCTAAGTATATGATACCCACAAGAAATGTACTTTTTTTTTGGTTGGTTGTGGGGCTTGAACTCAGGGTCTGGGCTCTGTCCCTGAGCCTCTCTGTGCTCAAGGCTAGCATTTTACCATTTGAGCCACAGCACCACTTCCAATTTTTGAGTGGCTAATTGGAGATAAAAGTTTCACATGGACTTTCCTGCCTGGGGTAGCTTTGAACCATGATCTTCAGATCTCAGTCTCCGGTTACAGAAGTGAGACACTAGTGCCCAGTGAGATACACTTTTGAAGAAAAAAATAGAGTGAAAGCAAAAAGATAGGCCAGAATATGCAAATAAATAATAACAGAGATGGAATGTGTATACTGATATTGGATACAACAAACTTTAAGATATAAATCATCACTTAGAGACAATGATACAGTAAGCCCACCTTATTTGCAGATTTATTACATGTAGTTTTGACCAAGCATGGTCAGAAAATAATAAATAAATAGTCAGTCCCACTCCTGGGCATCTACCCAAACAATCACAAACAAGGACATGCTAAAGCTACCAGCACAACTATGTCCATTGCAGTATTATTTACAATAGCTAAACTATTGATGTCCACATGTCCCAGCTGCCCCTCAGTATACGAATGGATCAAGAAAATGTGGTATATATACAAAAAGGAATTTTATGCTTCCATTAGAAAGAATGGCATCGCCCCATTCATAAGGAAATGGAAAGACTTAGAAAAAATTATATATGTGAAGTAAGCCAGACCCAAAGAAACATAGGCTCCATGGTTTCCCTCGTTTGTAATAATTAGTATCTGTCTAGGATAGGCTTAGCAGAGGATCACAATAGCTCAACAGCCATGTACATATGATCATATAAAATGATGCTAATTGAAAAGAACTCCATGATATGGAAACAAGAGGATTTTGGGGGGAGGTTGTTTTTGCTTTTGTTTTTTTAATGTACTGTATGCTTATTTTTTCCTTCATTTTTCCCCCTTTGGTTTATCTCCTGTTGTCACTGTTTGTTTTATTTTGGTACCCTTTGTCTTGTATGTACATTTATCTGATACGGGGAACGGAAGAGGAATAACAAAATGGTGAGACAAAGGACAAAGGGTGAACCAATGCAACAGCGATACTTACAAGACAATATGTTGGAAATGAACTTTACGATTTGGGGGGAGGGGAGGAGGGAAAGTGGGAGAAATTGAGGGAAGAGGTAACAATGTTCAACAAGAAATGAACTCATTACCTTACGTAACTGTAATCCCTCTGTATATCATCCATACAATTAAATTAAATTAAATTAAAAAAGAAATTTCAAAAACATTTTTTTAATTTCCAAGTGTACATGTGCCACAGCTCTGTGAATATGGAGCAGCTCTTATTTGGTCTCATGACCTTTTAATATTTTTTAAAATCACTATATTGATGGGCTGGATGTTCCCTTACCGCAAATTTTGTGAAAATATGCTTTATGAGGTGAAGTAAATGATGCCCAAAAAGATAATGATCTTAACTGATAGGGCAAAACATTTAGAGCTGTCTTTAGCAGAAGTTGGGCAGCATTATGAGGGGGAAAATGAGTGAAGCACTTGCAGCACAGTATTGAACTCAATGCACCCTGAGCAATCTCAGCAGCAATCTCCTTGGAACCATATGCCTGGGGTGAGGATTGCTGTATTGTATAATGACAAAAAGCCCAAGATAAAATCATTGTAAACCCATGAGTACCTACCAACAGAGCCCCACAGTACATGAAAACACAAACAGCTGCAGGAAAAAGAAAACAGGCAATTGAAGACTAGAAGTTGGAGGATCCAATAACCTACTCTCAATAATGGTAGAACACAGAAACAAAAGACACAAATAACACTGTAAACCAAGTAAACAGAATTAGAATCTACAGAACACTCTACCCACAATGACATTTCTCAAATGCACATAGAACATTCTTCATGTATGCACAATATATTAGGGAATAAACTATCCAAGTGCCAGTGACTCACATCTGTAATCCTAGCTACTCAGGAGACTAATATCAGAGAATCATGGTTCAAAGCCAGACTGGTAGAAAAGTCTGCAAGACTCCATCTCATAAAAATTCAAGAATAAAGCCTGACTGCATGATTCACATGGTTAGCACCTGTTATGTACAAGAAAAAAAATGAGAAAAAGAAATAGAAGAGGAAGGAAACTTTTTAGTTCAGTCTATAAGTCTACAAGGCCAGTAGTCCTCTGAGACATGACAGGCAAAGTAAATTATACAATATTCTTTATGAATATATATGCAAAAGTCCCTAACAAGCAAATTAAATTCAGCAATATTTAAAAAGCTATTTACCATGGCCAAGAAGGATTTATTTTAGGAATGTAAGAATGGCTCTCTATATAAAAATCAACTAATGTTTCAGGCACTGGTGGCTCACTCCTGCAATCCTTGCTACTCAGGAGTTTGAAATCTGAGTATTAAAGTTCAGAGCCAGCCTGGGCAGTAAAATCTGTGAGATTCTTAATCTCCAATTAGCCACCAAAAAAGCCAGAAATGATCTGGAGCTCAAGCAGTAGAGCACTAGCTTTGAGCAAAAAACTCAGGCACAGCAACTGGGCCCTGAGT